ATTTTTTCTGCTATTCTCAAAATTACTCCTTCGTTGACTAGAATGAATAATTAAATGTTCTCATTATTACAAACAATGAGAGCAATAGAAACCCGTTTCCTGACTTACTGAACACCCTGTATATATATATATATGTATATATATATATATATATATGATGTGTGTAAGCGCACTACATTAACCGACAGACTAATTGAACATTTAAGTTTAATTGTTTGAGCGAAGTCAACGCTGAGTGAACAGTTGTATAATTTTTAAAAGTAGAACCAATATATGGTACTGATGCAATTACCAAATTTATTTTGTATGTTCTTAGTGGACTGTATAGAGGGTAAATTTAAATGACAACAGCTAGAAGTAAGTTAACTAAATATGATTTTTAATTCTATGCTTACAAGTAAATAATTTTCATATTAACAACAACTAGGTAAATAACTACATTTATGACAACAAGGTTACTTTATGATTACAAGTGAAATAGTTGATGTGTACACTAGAAACAACATGCATTTACAAAATGATTACTAAACTATTGTTTCAACCCAATTATACAATCAAAATTACAATCTGATATTGAGTTCTCAAGCAACATGTGACAATATATTAAATATACCTAACATGTTTAAAAGTGTGCATTACAACTAAATTTTTTAATATAATATTTCAAAATTAATGAATTGTCAGCTCAAAGAATTAATACTCATTTGATTTCAAGGTATAAGCTAATTCTAAACTACATATACAAAAAAAAAATTAAAAAAAAAACGGTAGCACAGTGGGGTCGAGGCACAGTGTGGACGAGGCATAGATGGGACAAGTATAGATGATATCTGACAGTGATTAAAATCACTATCATAAGAAACGCTTCGATGCAAATCTGTAGATAGTGTTTCCTTTAGAGAAATTGGTGAAATATTTTAAAAGCAACATGAACTCTTATTTCTTTAATTATATCCTGATTAGTAGTTCTTTGATTTTAAAATATAATATATGAATAAATACTAATTATAGTTTTTAAATTTAGTATGAAATTGTG